CTGCAATGATGAGCTCAAGTATAGCAGGGATTGTGGGGCTGGCGTGGGATCGGGCAGTGTTTCGTTCTGCTGTGCATGGGGTCACTATGAGTCGGAAACGACTCGACGGCACTTAACAACAACAACAACATATATATACATATGCAGTCAATACTGATGCTCTTCTTACATAGCATAAAAAAAGTACACACTTCACTTTATCACTAACATTTTTTCACACAGAATCTGTGTAAGGTGGAAACCTGGGAGAGAAGGAAAACTCAAAATATTTTCCACTAAAACAAGCGATAGAAAAGTAAAAGTGGTAAACCCTGTTGAATGTGGAAAAGTTGCAAGACCCATATAAACAAGCACTCTGGTGGAGTTCTGGATCTCAGAGATCAAGGAAGAGTCCATCATCTCCTTGGGGCCTGCTCCTTTGCAGGTTATCAAATAACCTCTTGCTGGAAGTGACTTCTGTATCACTGTAACCTCCCCACAGTTCACTCACTCATCCAACAAATGTTCTTACTCGGGTCCTGGGAGTTTGACTGTGAAGGAGCTCTCATGGAGTTTATAGTCCAGTTAAATGGGTTAGCAAATGCAATAAAACCAGGAATAAAACTCCAGAGTATTTCTGGAGTCCTTCTGTCGAATTTCTCCAATCTATAACATACACATGAGTTTGGAAAACAAGCTCACTAGAAATATTTTCCTGTAATTAACATACTTAAAATGCACAGGCATACCTTGTTTCACTGCACTTTGCAGATAGTGCAGGTTTTACAGATTGAAGATTTGTGGTGACAACCCTGTATCAAGCGTGTCGGTGCCAGTTTTCCAACAGCACGTGCTCACTTCGTATCTCTGGGTCACATTTTGGTAATTCTCATAATATCTCAAACTTTTTCATAATGCTATTATTGCACACTTAATAGACTACAGTACAGTGTAAGTACAACTTTTAAATGCACTGGGAAATGAAAAACTGCGTGACTCGCCTTATTACGATAACTCACTTTATTGCAGTAGTCTGGAACCGAACCTGCAGTATCGCTGAGGTTATGCCTGTATACAAAATTTTTCTCGATAGCATACTATTAAACCAAGTACAGTTGCATTCAATGCCACAACTACTTGCCCAAAGTATTAGTATTACCATAAAGAGTTTACATCCGTGAAACTTAGCTTTTAACTTCTCAGCAAGACTTGTACAAGAACACTGCAGCAAACTAACTGGAAACTATATTTGAGTGTTACTTCATAAAAAATAACACCAGGGGAAAAAAAATTCACAAATGTCACAGAAAATGAAAAATGTTGCTATCATTTTTTAAATGTGCATTTAATTTAGAGGTCTTTATTTTCAATGTTCCAAATCCAATTGAAAGAACTTGATATAAATTTGCGTTATAGGTAACAGAAATCTTACACTACCTTGCAGTCTTAAGCAATTTGACACCTTAATAAGGAAATTTGTTCTTTGAAACAAATTTGTGTTCTCTTCCTAGGGTTCTTTACCTAGAACCTGACACTAGAGGTGTGAAGGGTAGGAAGTACACATCACACTAACGGTGCAGCAGGGTGAGGCAAACGCTGAAGTGGAAGGTTTTTGTCTTTAGACTTCCTAACCTTTCCTTTCTGTAGGAAGCGCCATTGGGCTCCCATTGTCCTTAACCTTCTTGCCTTTTCTCCTCTCCCTCCTCACTAATCAAAACTAACACTCGACTATTAATGCCCCGTTTTACTTCCTGTTGTGTCAACTTCTCACATTTTCTTTGATGAAAAGGAATGCCCCTTCATAATGTGAACTGCACCTTCTCATCCTATAACCTCCCTCAGCAGGTACCAGAAACCTTAACACTTAGTTTTTCTTAGACTAGGCCTTATACCAAAGGCCTATCATGGTGACTGACATTCAGGCATAAAGAACCATCAATACTCGAGTATTCCCTAAATACAAAATTGACTGTATCTATTACTAAGCCAGTAATCACATACAGAAATCTTACACTTCAGCTTTTCTTCAAAAGTCCCTCGAAGAAACAGTGATAATCCTTTAACCCACTCATTTACATTTATGTGGCTATCACCATCTTTGTCAAATGCAAAAAACACTGAAACAAAAAGAATGTATGTGCCATATTTTAATACAACAGTACATATGTATATTTAGAAAATTTCTTCTCTGAAGTTGAAAGAGGAAAAAAGGCTTTGGCAGTCTTTCTGGAAAGAACCAGTACTACTGAAAGGAATGTTTTCTCCCAAGTTCTTATAAAAAGACGCATTCTCCTCCATTAACAATGATGAACTTCATTTGTAACCTTTCATACAGTTACTATGAGCCAAGGTAACCAACAGAGGAGCTAATCAATGTGAGAACTCTACAGAGAGTCACAACAATTCCAGTTTTCATAATACCTAGTGTCTTTATTAAAATAATTACTTTAAAAATTACCAATGAAATCTTAGTATGTATTCTCCAATAGATAGTAAGTTAAAATATTTATTTTTTGGGGGGAGATGGCTACGTTAATCATTGTGGTCATGGTTCATAGTTATATACATGTTAAAACATCAAACTGTACACTTGAAAAACTTATGAAACCAACTAAATCATATTAAATTTATTTTAAATCTTTAAAAAAAATTTTTCAATATATTTTTATATACTGATAGTTTTCATTTTTATGAGGAAAATGAAGTCATTTGATAATTCAGGTGCCCATGGCATGTTAATCCAAAGTCATGCTTAAGAACTGCATGCTTATGATTTTAAAAATACTGCTAGTTTGCTTAGTCCATCATTGGTTACCTCTCAAAGCTGTCCCTTCATGATGTATGAAATTCTCAGTGAGCTTGTATTAAGAATCACCCTCACAATCAAACCAACTATTTTGTATTGGCAGCACACTACAAGAACTTTGCCTTTCTAGTTTGGCACTGAAAAAGTCCATGATGAAAACTGAGTACACGTGTAATATTTATTTGCTGTTATCTCCCCTTAGCTCATTTTAGTCTCTTAACAGTTCTTACCCCTATCCATCAGCATATCATCAGTCATTCCAAATACACTGTGTAGGATCCCTCGAAATGCACTACGATCTAGCCCAATCTTGTCAAGTCTTTCATCAGTTCTTCTCACCAAGCTATGAAAAAGTCTTATGAGACACTCAACTTCACTTTTTTTGACTGTAAAATGAAAACACAAAATACAACTTAAATTGCTGAGTTTCCAACCCAGTCCAATGTATTTTACTAAGCACCTATTTTGTTACTATGATGTCAGGTACTCTGGTGATTCAAAGTATGGTATGAATTTGTTGTTTAACTGTTTACACATAAGGTGGGCCTCACCCAGATGTCTCCTAAGACAGTATATAACTGACAAATTATGCGTTATTAAGGTTACCACCATAGCCACATGGAGGGAAATCAGTATGGGAATGAGAAGTTGGGCCATTTTCATGGAAGTAGACTTTGAACTGGGCCTTAAAGGATGCATAACTCACTCACTGCTGTCAAGTGAGATCCGATTCATAGCAACCCCCCTTTGGGTTTCCAAGGCGGTATCACTATGGAAGTAGATTGCCCAACCTTCCGAGTGGCTGGTGGGTTTGAACTGCCAGCCTTCTGGTTAGCCATCACATACCTTAGGCACTATGTCACCAGAGCTCCTAAAGGATGAATAGTGTAAACATAAGGACTATGTTGGAAGTGGTAAAGAAGTGGAAGATCTCAGGGGGAGAGGATATGAGTAAAGGAAAAAGGTAGAACTGGGGTAAGACTAAACATGCCTTACTGGGAGCACAACAATGAGATAGGAGGAAGTGAAAAAGTTTAAGAGGATGCCTAGTTAGAGGATTAACATTTTACTGGAGTTTTCATAGTGTGATCTTTGGACCATCTGAATGAGACACAGCCCCCTCTCCACTACTCCATGCTTGTTAAATATGCAGATTCCAGACCTTTGAGTTTTATCCCTGTTGCTCACATCTCATGATACCTAACCATCATAAATGGTATTTGAGAAATCATGGGTAACTGAAATAGTACTGAAATGGTAGAGATGAACTCATATTAATGTTTTAATTAAACTTTTAATTTCTGAACAGTTTGTTACAGAAAAGATGCCAAGATAGTACACAAAATTCCAATGTTAACATCTTATGTAACCATGGTACACCTGTAAAAACTAATACATTTAACATTGGTATGTTACTGTTAACCACAAACGTTATTCTGATTTGATCAGTTTTCCCACTAATGTTGTTTTGGTTCCAGGATCCAATCCAGAATCTTCCAATGTGTGATAGTTTTCAGTCTTTCCACATTTTTCATAACCATGTTAAGTTTTGAAGGATACTGTTAGGTGTCTTGTAGAATATTCCTCCATTTGGGTTTGCCTGAGTTTTTCTCAGCTGTGGTTGTGTTTTGGGGAAGAATACCAAAGTGCCATTTTTATCACATCATATTAGGTGATACATATCAATGTGCCTTATCGTTTATCATGTTAACTTTATCACTTCGTTATGGTAGTCCCAGATTTCTCCTCTATACGTTTCCCTTTCCACAATCCACAGTCCACTCACTCACTGCTGTCAAGTGAGATCCGATTCATAGCAACCCCCCTTTGGGTTTCCAAGGTGGTATCACTACGGAAGTAGACTGCCTTTCAGCCTATAGTCCACTTCCCTCTTCCTCAGAAGACTAATTACATATATTACTTGGAATTCTTCTATAAAGAAGGTATATCTCTTCTCCTCCTTTTATTTATCCAATCATTTATATTCATATAAAGTCAGGGCCATTTATTTTATACTATAGGTTATATTCCAATACCATATTTTGTTGCTTAAATTGTCACAGCTTTGGCCATTGGGAGGTTACAGGTTGACTCCTTTATCTCTTTGACATACCCTTATCTTCTTGCACACCTCTTTGCTTTCTGGCACTAAATGTTCCAGGCTTATCTTGCATTTTCCCCACTCAGCTATTTCACCAAGGAGCCTTGGTAGTTTCTACTGGAGAACAGTATTTAGAAACCAGTCTGGGAGCTGTATGTTTGATGCTACTGCTTGTAAGCCCTCTCAGAGACAGGAAATAAGCACGTATACTAACCCACTTATATATTAGCTCATGTCATTCTGTCTCACTAAAAAAGTGAACGACAAACAATGGACTAGTGGACTTAGAGGTGGTACTGGGTTAAGTTAAGGACAGATAATCAATTGTATTAAAAACTCATGAACACTGAGGAAGAGGGGCTCATGGATTCACAAAAGCAAATCCCACCAGATTTAACTCATTTCCACTCTCTGGTAGGAACAGATCAGGGAAATGCAGTTCACAAAGTATTCTGGGTTTAAAAGAGGCATCTGACACAATCTTGACATAGACAAAATATAAGAATGAGGGCTGGAAAATTACAGATATAGCTGACTGAACCCTTTTGTTCATAAGGTGATGTTTAACATATTACTATCTACTCAATACAGGCATACCCTGGAGATATTGCAGGTTTGGTTCCAGATCACTGCAATAAAGGACTAGCAACATTTCATCCCACTGTGCATGGGGTTGCCATGAGTCGGGGGTTGACTCCACGGCAGCTAACAACATTTGAAAAAGGTTAGATTTATTATGTGTAACTCTAGTGCATTGTCCCATAAAACCTTCTGAAGTGATGGGAATGTTCTATATCTGCTGTCCAAATGTGTAGCACCTTAAGTGTTGCTACAGTAACCAAGAAACTGAACTTTATATTGTATTTAATCTTATTTAACTTAATTTTAAATAGCCATGCATTGCTAGCTTCTACTGTACTGGACACTGTACCTCTAGAGAGCATATGCATTATACTAGCTCTACAGTATAGAACACTCTAAAGCAGCTACGTGTAAAATTATCTGGTTATACTGGGGTAGGATCCTGAGTAAACTGCTATGTGTAAGCATTTAGGGTATGAACTTTGTGATCATAACTAAAGTGTCAAATGTTTGGAATATGAAGGCACTCATTCCTTTTTCAAACAATAATTATTATCTATTTATATACCATGGGCTGCCAGAATGAACAATCTGTCTTGGAAGGGGTACAGCTGGAATGCTCCTCAGAAGTGAGAATGGCCGGACTTTGTCTCTTATACTTTGGGTCATGTTACCACGAGAGACCAATCTCTGGAGAAGGATATCATGCTTGCTAAAGGAAACTGAAAATGGGAAGAAACAGCTGTAAACATCCATTAATAATCAGAACATGGAATGTACGAAGTATGAATGTAGAAAAACTGGAAGTTGTCAAAAACGAAATGGAATGGCCAAAGATCAATATCCTAGGCATTAATGGGCTGAAAGGGATTGTTTTTGGCAATTCTGAATCAGACAACCCTACAATCTACTATGCTGGGGAATGACAAAATGAGGAAGAATGGCGTGGCATTCATCATCACAAAGAATGTTTCAAGATCCTGAGATACAATGCTGTCAGTGACAGGATAATATCCATATGCCTACTAGCAAGACCAGTTACTACTACTGTTATTCAAATTTATGCACCAACCATGAAAGCCAAAGACGAGGAAACTGAAGATTTTTAGGAACTTCAGCAGCCTGAAACTGACCAAACATGCCATCAAGATGTATTGATGATTACTGGTGACTGGAATGCAAAAGTTGGAAACAAGAATCACCAGTAGTTGGAAAATATGGCCTTGGTGATAGAAATGATGCCAGAGGTCTCATGATAGAACTTTGCAACACCAACAACTAACTTATTCATTGCAAATACCCTTTTTCAACAACCTAAACAGCAGCTATACATGTGGACCTCACCAGATGGAATACACAGGAATGAGATTGACTACATCTGTGGCAAGAGGCAATGGAGAAGCGCAATATTTTCAACCAACTCAAGGCCAGGAGCTGACTGTGGAACAGACCATCAATTGCTTATATGCAAGTTCCAGCTTAAGCTGAAGACAATTAATATTTAAGTCCACAAAAGCCAAAATATGACCTGATTATATCCCTCCTGGATTTAGAGACCATCTAAAGAATAGATTTGATGCACTGAACACCAATGACCGAAAACCAGAGGAATCGTGGGATGACTTCAAGAACATCGTCCATGAAGAAAGCAAAAGGTCATTTAAAAAATAGGAAAGGAAGAAAAGACCAAAATGGATGTAGAAGAGATTCTGAAACTTGCTCTTGAATGGAAAGTAGCTATAGCAAATGCAAGAAATTACAAGATAAAAGAGCTGAACAGAAGATTTCAAAGAGCAGCTTGAAAAAACAAGTCAAGTATTATGATGAAATGTGCAAAGACCTGGAGTTAGAAAACCAAAAGGGAAGAACTCACTTGGCATTTCTCCAGCTGAAAGAACTGAAGAAAAGATTCAAGCCTCAAGTTGCAATACTGAAAGATTCTATGGGAAAATATTGAATGATTCAGGAAACATCAAAAGAATATAGAAGGAATACACAGAATCACTCTGCCAGAAAGAATTGGCCAATGTTCATCTATTTCAAGAGGTGGCATATGATCAAAAACCAATGGAAGGAAGATGTCGAAGCTCCATTGAAGGAAATGGTGAAAAACAAGGTTACAGGAATTGATGGAGTACCCACTGAGATGTTTCAACAAATGGAAGCCATGCTGGAGGCATTTACTTATCTTTGCCAAGAAATCTGGAAGACAGCTATCTGGCTAACTGACTGGAAGAGATCCTTATTTGTATCCATTCCAAAGAAAGGTAATCCAGCAGAATGTGTTAATTATCAAACAGTATCATTAATATCACACACAAGTAAAATCTTGCTGAAGATAATTCAAAAACGGTTGTAGCAGTGTATTGACAGGAACTTCCAGAAATGTAAGCTGGATTCAGAAGAGGATGTGGAACAAGGGGTATCATTACTGATGTCAGGTCAATCTTGGCTGGAAGCAAAGAATACCGGAAAGATGTTTACTTGTGTTTTATTGACTATGCAAAAGCATTTGATTGTGTGGATCATAACAAATTATGGATAACACTGAGAAGAATGCAAATTCCAAAATCCAAAACACTCAATTATGCTCATAAGGAACCTGTACACAGACTAGGAGGCTGTCATTCGAACAGAACTGCATGGTTTAAAATCAGAAGGGAGTGTGTCAAGGTTGTATGCTTTCACTAACTTATTCAATATGTATGCTGAGCAAATAATCCAAGAAGCTGGACTATATGAAGAAAAACTTGTTATCAAGATTGGAAGATTCATTAACCGTCTGTGATATGCAGATGACACAACCCTTGCTTACTGAAAATGAAGATGACTTGAAGCACTTACTGATGAAGATTACAGACTATAGTCTGCAGTATGGGTTACACTCAAAGAAAACGAAAATCCTCACAACTGGACCAATAAGCAGCATCACAATAAATGGAGAAAAAATTGAAGTTCAAAGATTTCATATTACTTGTTTCCAAAATCAACACCAATGAAAGCAGCAAATCTGCTGCAAGACTTCTTTAAAGTGCTGAAGAGCAAAGATGTTTCTTTGAAGACTAACGTATGCCTAACGCAAGCCATGATGTTTTCAATCGCCTCATATGCATGTGAAAGCTGGACAATGAATAAGAAAGACTCGAAGAAGAGTTTACGCTTTTGAGTTGTGGTGCTTGCAAAGAATACTGCAAGTGCCACAGACTGCCAGAAGAATGAACAAATCTGTCCTGGAAGAAGTGCTGCCGGAACGCTCTGTGGAAATGAGAATGGCTAGATTTGGTCTCATCTACTTTGGTCATGTTGTCAAAAGGGACCATTTCTGGAGAAGAGTATCATGCTTGGTAAAGTGGAGGGTTAGCAAAAAAGGAGACCCTCAACGAGGTGTACTGACACAGTGACTGCCACAATGGACTCAGGTATACTAAGGATTGTGAGGATGGTGCATGACCAGGCAGTGTTTTTTCTGTTGTACACAGGGTCACTATGAGTCAGAGTTGACTTGATGGCACCTAAAAACAAAAGTAGAAAGTCAGTGTCAAAAGGGAAGACCCTCAACAAGATAAACAGACACAGAGGCTGCAATGATGGGCTCAAGCATTAGCAACAATTTTGAGGATGGTGCAGGACTGGGCAATGTTTTCTTCTGTTGTACACAGGGTTGTTGTAAGTCAAAACCAACTTGACAGCACTTAACAACAAAAACATTTTGTAGAAGACTGTATGAGAAATGGTCCTGATCAAGTATTGTATATTCACAGTATTTAAAAAAATTGCTTTCAAACAACAAACTAACACATTTAGGGGCCGTAGATATTGCTAAAAGTAATTTCGTTAGAATGAGAAGAGGAATTAGACTTCACAAGTATGCAAAATCCTTCTGAAAGTTGTAAAAGCCAGGATCTGTTAAAAAAGCAGTGAATGACAGCAGACATTTCTCATTACATTCTGCACTGGCTATAAATCTGCAGGACTGTTCTAACTACACAATTTAAGGGATACCTGATAAAAGGAGCACTGGTGGTGAAATGCATAAGGCATCTGACTGCTAACCGGAAGGTTGGCAGTTCAAACCCACCAGCGGCTCTGCAGAAGGAAGGCGGGGCAATCTACTTCTGTAAAGATTTACTGCCTCAGAAACCCAATGGAGGTTGCTATGAGTCGGAACTGATTTGATAGCAATGAGTCTGTTTTTTTGCTTTTCATCTCAGGATTGGGAAATATGCCCTAGAAGCGACTGAGAAACTGAGATAGTTTAAAACCCAACTTATTCCAACTGGAATAAGAGAAAACAGAAGTATACTGTAAGACTACTCAGTGCGGCAGTGCCTACTCCCCCCCCAGAACACACATGGAAATATGGAAGTGTCAAATAAGGAGGTTGTGGGACAGGGGCTGAAATAAAGTTCCTTCCTTAATTTTTTAAAATAGATTCTCCGAAAACTGTCAGGATTGCTTGTGGTCATATCTGAGGAACAAAATTCCCAAGATAACTTTTAAAGACCCCGATAAGTTTGATTAGCTTCAGTAAACATTAAACACTCACCATGTGCAAAGCACTATATAGTATTTCTTCAACACCTAGAGTATCTTAGGTATCTCTATTAACCCCTTGAAGTACAGCAATCATTTGCCAGTATGGCTTTTGTGTGAAAACATTCTGAGAGGACAGAGAACTCAGAACTGGTCAAAGTAAACCTTTAGAATTTAAAATTCTTTTAATTAAACTTCTGTTTCATACTATGTAACAGAATCAATTCTTGGCTGACTGAAATCCTTTAGTGTTAAAGATATCCTGAAAATTTTTGAGCTATATTTTAGGACACTGATGTTTACAAGGGGAGCTCTGGTGGCATAGTGCCTAAGGGATTTGACTGCTAACCAGAAGGCTGGCAGTTCAAACCCACCAGCCACTCCTCAGAAGGAAGACTGGGCAATCTACTTCCACAGAGACAGAGCCTCAGAACTCAAGGAGGGGTCACTTGAGTCGGATGCGACTGAATGGCAGTGAGTTTGGTTTTCTTCATTTGATGATTACAAGTTTTCCATTAAGTGTAAGCATAATTATTCACTTGCATATCCACTTTTAAAATGGCCAAAATATTAGATTGGAAGTAGAGAGAGACTGTTTAGTGTTGCAAAGCGCTTGTTGACGTCTACCAATGTTTATATCTGATTCACTAAATATGTTCAGGTAGTGCTGGAAGTCTGATCAATACTTACAGCTCTTGACAGTTTTACTTATGGATTCCACCAGTTTTTTCAAAGCCTTCTGGTCCATGTCAAGTATGATTCCAATCACATGGCAGACTTTCCAGACAGCCTAGCTCCAAGCCTAAGTGTCTGGATCGCCACTAATCCCACAGTGCACTTTTCCTTTCCTAACACAGAATGTTACCATAGTAATCTCCCAGCAACTGAACATAGAAGGTTCTCAGTAACTGAAAAATATGCAACAATGGTTGCTACTACCTAGAAGAATTAAGTAATCTCACTAAGGTTATTGAAATCTTCTAGACACTTGCCTGCTAACCAGACGGCTGGTGGTTCAAACCC